GCAGGCTGCATGCTGCTCTCTGGCTCTGAGGGAAATTCAAAATGGCAGAAATCTGAGGGTGCTTCATGAGCCGGAGAGAATATAATCTTGCAATGTGTCATGTCTGATGGGCTGAAATTTTGATAATTAGGTTCCCATGTGTTGTTTATAATTAATTTCATAGGTTGGTTCTTGGACAGAAGAACATAAGTGTTTCAACTTTTGGCTTTTTAATCCACTTTGGCTCCAAACGGGACTGCTTTGGCAAAATGTATTGACAACTTTTAGACAGATTACCTTGAACTTTGGTAACAAAAACATCGAGGTCTCAAGAGGATTAATCCCAATGAGCTGTGTAATGCTTTGATTTTACATCTAGCAAGAGCATCATGTCAAACTTTCCAGATGTTCAAAATGTCAGTTCAGGACAGGACAGAACACCTAAAAGCCAATGCCTCTGCACTTCAAAGACCAATTACATTTTTTTGCCCCATTACTGGTCAGAGTTTAAAGATGGCAAGAGATGTCTCCTGATTTTTCTTTATTTCAACAGGTTTCTCTCCCCAATGAATGAGCTTCACAGCCTCACGATGCTGCAAGTGGGGCCAAAGCAGAGTGTTGTTCCTTTTATGAACACGTGTGTACTTAGACCCTGCATATGTTAAACATCTTTATGCCTTCTTAGACTAGAGATGGAGTGTGTTTGAAATGCTGACCCCAGCTGATTTGCAGCAGTTTTTCAGCGACTGAGACTCGAGCCTGAGGAGTCCTGAGGAGTCCTAACTCACCACTTCATGACTCCTCGCAGTGGCGCTTGTGACATGTGTAAGGGTAACATGAAAAGAAGTTCACAGCTTGAAAGAAGACGAGAGCAGGATAATGTAGGATAGAGGTGACAAGAAGCTAACGGAAGAGATGAAAATGACAAATTGCAGTAAATAAATGCAATGTCGTCAGTAATTCATGCATCATTATCAGATTGTCTTGCAATATATCAATTTTCACAGAATTGCAGTATTGTGATATTATTATCGTGGTCCACATATTGCGATTGTATCAGGAGTTTCCCTGCAATTCCCACCTCTACTTAAGATGCCACTGCCTGTGATCTTAGACTTTTCCTTTCCTTTCGTCCATCAGCCATTCTGCTTCTCCACCTCCTGAGGTTGAGCTCCAGATGCGGCTTTGGGACCTTGACTTGTATGTCGAAGCCCCAAAGTCCCATCATTTGCTTCAAGCGGCACCTACTAGCCACCCAGATCCTGGCATCTTCTCTGACCGTGCAGATTCACAGGACACATGGTTTCATATGTTGAGCCATTTTTGTTGGATCTGTCCAATCCTTAATCCAGCCAGATGGATCTGCTTTGACTGCCAGACAACCATCCAGGCTTTTCTGCACTCTAGTGTCGATGGCACCATATACTCCCAACCGCTTACTTAATCGACAGACTGTTTTCTTGTCAACAAACCCATCCATCATTATTTTGAGCCTGCTTCATGTCTCAGTCACCCTTGTGTTGCAGACTTTTGGACAGATTTTATTTTGAAAGGCAAAACTACGTCCTCAAATGCCAATGATTTAAGTTTATTTTTGATATGTTTGATACGCATTTAAAACAAAAACGTTGCTCACTGTGCACTCCTAGTTTTGAATTAAGTTTTAAAAAAGCGGAGCAAAGATTCCAAAGCCTAGTCACAATGCTTAGACGTATTTACACATCTCCAAAGGGCAAAGATGACTAATTAATCCGTAATAAGCAATGACGACATCATCAAAAGACATTTTCAAATCATAATTCCTTGTGCTTTTGTTGTCTTCTTAGTCTTTCTCCAGGGCATGAATGACTTTATATTGTAGCTTTTGTTTTGACACATTTAACAGACTCTTCTTCCCAAAAACAGGGCTTTGGAATTTTACTTGAAAGACTTCTCATAACAAATCCAGACTGATGATTTGAGTCATTTTTTGTGTAAATATTGTGCATCCTACTAAAGGGAACAAAAAACTATTGTTGTTCTGCCAATTTAAGAAAGATGAATCAGGAACCTCTCAGGATGCAAGTCAGGATGCTTAACATAATTTGAAACCTCAAGGTCTGCTTCCCAGGTCACTGAGGCTTCGCTTTCAGACAAAATAAACAGAACCTGAATTCAGAGCTCACAGTATTAATTTCAGAAGTGATCACACAAAGTGTACTGTCTACCCTTGGAAAATGTTGGCCCTGGAGAGTGTTCTTTCTCGTTTGTATACTAACACGAAGCCGTTTAATCACGTTTACAACATTAAAACTGAAACAAGTTTACATTTTTCAACTCTTTTCTACATCTTCCCTTTTGATTAAGTTAGTCTAAGTTTTTTTTTTTGTGTTCCAACAAGCTGTTTGATGAGTAATCCTTCTTGGAGGACGAAATGTCTCCTAATGCAGGACACGTGAGGATCAGATAGCTTTCCAATGGAATTATGATGATGTTATAAACCTTTCAGCATCATCTTCATGTGGTTTAATCACTTAGTCTTTATAAACAGACATGTTTTCAGGAGAAAGTGTTCTTCTTGTGAATGCAGTTACTCATGGCGAGCCTCCTTCCACAACTAGCTTTCCACAGTTTTCCGCTTGCCCCCTTTAAATTTTAAATGGCTTTGCTTCTGAAAAGCTGTTTCTGGTGCCTCTGTTTGGATTTTCTTCATTCTGCTCTCTCCTCTCTTTTTTTCCAAACAATGAATGCTGGCATGTATCCCAGGTATGCACCGAGGCCTTGCCTGACATGATTGCATGCATCTTTGGGCAAGCCCCTTTTCCATTGGAGGACATAGTTTCCATTTGTCGTAATGACAGAATAATGGCATCACACCTGGTGCCCCACCCTCATTTTGCTTGCACGTACAAACACAAATACACCTGCACACGTGTACTTGTACGCATGGATACAGCCGAGATGAAACTCAGCCAAAACTTAGCAAACACATAAATTCCTCTGACTAAGGGGGTTGGAGGTTTTGGTTTCCATCTCCTACTGTTGCGTAGGGAATCCCCGCCCAGCCCCTTGTCTTCACTCTCCCATCATGCCTGCTGCTGCCTTCACAACCTACAGTTTTATCCCTTCACCCTGTCCTCACAGCCAAGTGGAAACTTATAACCACCTTTCATTGGGTGTTCTTCCAGTTTTGCACATACCCCATTACTCTTAAACCCCCTCCTACCCATCCTCTTTTGTTTTCAAGAAAAAAAAACGCTCTATGTTTCCATTTGGAATCCCAAAACAACCTTACAAGCACCAGATCCATGTCTGCTATTAAAATACACGTTAGCATTGCATTGTTTTATGTACTGGACATTTTATGGTGTTTGTCGGCTTAATGCTTTTAACTCTTGAAGGCAATAAAGTCACCAAAAAAAGTCCAGTATGTGTTCAAATTTTTTCCATTCAAGACAAATCAAGCTTCACCCTAACTTCTTTGATTTGACTCTATCTAAGGCTTTACTCAGGCGGTGAACTGTCAAAAAAATAAGTAAATATTTCCTTCCTTTTTTTTTTTTCAGAACCTGATGTTGCTTCTTTAGTTGTGTTCTGAACCCATAGGCAATCATGTTTATCATCATCTGATAGACAATTACGTTGTAGGATCACAGTTTAACAGAAGATAAAAGGCAAACAGAGGCGTCACAGGAAAAAAAGATTTTAAAAACCGAGAAGAGATTCTTCCAGATTTTTTAAGAATTACGTTTTCTTTTACCTGAATTGTTAACCCACGCTTTTATCCTTCATTATAGTTTATACCCAATCACATATCTAACTCTTCCATGTGCTGAACAATAAACTACTAATCCCAAGCAAGAACTTCATTTTGGCCACTTGGCTACGGCCGTAGAAATTCTGCAGTGCTGAAATATTGCTAAACAAAATTTGGTAAAGGTATTTAAATGACGTGAACAGGATACCGAAGATGGTTCTACGGTGTCCTCAGGGTCCGTCCAAGTCAAATATGCAGATAGCGGTGTAGAGCCGAAGACCAAAAAGATTAAAACAATCTTTATATAACAGATGGGAGAAGAAACCCCAAAGTCATGCTCTAAATCTCTCTCGGTGAGTTCTTACCCTTAATAACAAGGTGCACTGTATGTGCCTTACAATTATGCTTTGGGTGGTTTCATCTTCATCGCTCACATCCATGAAGGTCTCCGTGCTTCTGCTCGGAGGATTGGTTCATAAATCAGCTCCACCCTAAAAACGGCAAATTCTGTGGTCTTGGTCAATGCAAGTCTTTGCTGTGAGGTACGAATCAGTATGTAGGGCGAATGACTGTGGCGAACAGGACTTGTTTGATGTAGCTGAGGCATAAAAAAAACCCAACATATTTTCTATGTTTTTCTTCGTTTGATCTCCATGAAACATATCCTTCTCCCCTCCTGGTACTTTTATTTTAATGTGTCAAATGTTAATTTGAGGCTTTTACTGTGAACACATTTCATCCAGAACTACATCTTGTGTGTCGCACAACTGTAAAAAATATTACATGTTGTTGCCTATTTTTGCATCATGATCACATTAATACGCATGAACGCAGCAGCTCTGGAGGGGATAAATGTTTGGTTGTAGAGCACGCCCAGCAACCCCAATAAAACCCCAACTCCATGTAATAAGTACTGCCCAGAGCATTACCCCAGAAGAAGTGATCATTATTTGATAGCCACCAGCTGGTGTCCTACTATTGAGTGTATATGTCACTGTCTCCATGGTGACCACTGGTTTACTATTTACACACACGCACACACACAGTCACACAGATGGACACGATTTTGGAAGCAGCCAGGCGTATTGTCTTGGACAGATTAAGGCAGAATCCATTTTATGCTCTGAAATTAAACAAGAGCGTTTGTGTTTGACTGTGAAGGGAAGGGAATGCTGTGAGAGCAGCGGTGACCTCATGTGTCTGTGTTGAAAAACAGACAACAAGCACTACTGTTTTTGATAAGCTCATCCTAAATTTACATTTTTTTCCTCTGTGTTGCATTTAGAGAACGACTTTTCCTGTGGCACGTGAAGCTCATCTTTCCTCAGAGCGGCTCAGAGTTCAGTCAGAGGAGGTGAGTCATACAACTATATTCAATTTCCTGGAGAGTTTACACATCAAATGTCTCCTGAAGCACCCGCTGTTGTTTTATCGACTGAAAATGATGTCAGTACTTAGAGTGTTTGTAGCTCGGCATAAAAATTTAAGAGAAGAGTTTGAAACACGTTAAGGCTGATGATTTAGATATTATGTGTATGATACCTTTAAATACTATGATTTAAATAGATTTAGATGATCATACACAAATCATTTCACATTGTTTTTCCTTCACAAATTTTTTAGGGTGTCGGAGAAGCAAACCCTGGAACAGATCTTGACCCCTTACATTCACCCTACAGAGTCTGACCCTGTGACACGACAAAAGTAAGCAATGCGCCATCAACACTCAACCTTACCTACCTGGGAAATGTCTGTGTTTCTGATGTACCAACACCTTTTTATGAAAAATGACTGGGACTGTTCACAATATGTATCACTCCACCTTAGCCTTGTTTTCTGAATACTTATATTTTACATTAATACAAACAGTGTTTTGCTTTATTGAAACCTCAGAATTGAACAACACTTGCTGATTTATCTGGTACATGATACATTTAAACATAAAAAAATGAATTTACTTCAAGCAAGTAGCTTGTCATGGACACAAACACGAAGAGCCTTGAGTGTTTCTGTGTGTGTATGAGCTGGTTGTTAGTTTGATATTGAAGGTTTTTCTAAAGCAGGTGAGTACATACTCATGTTACAGTCTGCCAATTCACACTGATTAAAATGGGAACCGTACAAATCAAAATTGGCCCTGTACAGCTGGAGCGACAGCATCTGTCCATATTATTGGCATTAAGTGTAAGGGTGTCATTTTCAGTCTGAAGCTGTGTCACCATGTGTTTTTGATTTTAATGAATTCATGTTTACTGCTTCTTGGATTTCTTATTTATCCTGCTGAATCCTTCGGTAAACTCAGAAACCTTTGACTGATGTGTTGCAGTCTCGGGCTGAATTTTAAACACTCGGTTGTTTTGCTTCAGTCACTTGAATCCTGAATAGATGTAGAAAACTTAACAATGTGATAATAGACCCCGAAATCAACTCCACATTGAAAAGTGGTTTGGAAAACCTCAAAGTTTAAAGACAATGACTGCAACTCTGCCAATGGTCCTTTTTGAAAACTTCAAATGAGAAGTTTTGCTGTGTTTAGTTACTGGGTCCTCATGTCCAAAAACTAGAAATGACGCTGTGGCAGATAAAGCTGACTGACCCAATTGCTGTTGAACTGCAGAGACTATGTCTTCACTCAGGCATCTTAGCATGATGTTAGTCACACCCCCCTTTTTTTCAACATAACTATGACAACACTACATTTGTGTGTAATTGTGTCGTATTATCATGGGGATACAACGCATCATTTGACCATTTGTGTTGTCTAAAATTGTGTTGCTAAGATGCAGTTTTAAGTATTATTGGTAAATGGATTTGAGCTGGTCTTCTGACTACTCAAACTCAAAGTGCTTTTACCCCACGTCACACCTACCCAATCACACACTGATTGCAGAGGTTGCTATAGTGACCATCAGAAGTAATTAATCCCATTCATACACGCTGACGAGTGTTGGAGTTAAGTTTTACCCTTGGATGCCCAACCCTAGTTTTCACTCAGGTGAAAGTATCGAATGTGATACTGGGATGAAAATGATATCAAACCATCTCTGCTTATATAAAGCTGAGGAATTATGCCCCAGTTACCGATAAAGTACAAGTCAGCCAGTCTTTCTGTTAAAGAAGGAATGGGTCGATAAATAGATATAGCTGTTAACAGATTCATGTTCCGTTGGTGTCTGAGATATTCTTTTGTCCTCCTCTCAACACTTTTTCTGTTTCTAATTAAAATTAACGTTGGAGTGGGATTGTGTCTGAATTGAACACTCTGCTGATCTGTACCAAACACTTGAATGTGAATGTTTCCCATCAAGTGGATGAATAGTTGAAGTGTCTGCTTTTAATAGGCTCACTTCATCTCAATACAACTGTGGAGAAAACTCAGTTCGCGTTAGACAAAGAAGCTGTTACTCAAAGGTCATTTTCTGTTCTGATCTTTCAATTATCAGTCAGTACAATCAATTTCTGCAACACAGGATTTGGATGGTGTAAAAACATTGAAAGGTCTAATTACCACAATGTTATTTGCCGCAATTCATCTTTTGTAATTTTGCTCCTGCTTTACTTTCTTTTCTTTTTTTATTTCCCAGGCTTGTGTGTCTCCTAACCTGAACTGCAGTATTTGAACAAGGCAGCCTCTTTGATTGCAGAACACGGGGTTTTTAATCTGAACCTTTAGCCGAACCGTGATCTGACTCCTTTGACCCAACCATTGTACCGATGACAGTCGGAGATAAGCCGTCTACTGTGATACATTTCAGCATATTTGATTAAGCTGTTATACTTGACTGATTCTTGCCATTTTAGGGTTTTATCCACATGATGATTTGCATGATTTGCCTTGGATCAAAATGTCAGCTAAATACATTAAAAGTAAAAGCTACAACTGGAGCTTAAAGGTAGACATTTAACTTGGTTCAGTGCCAGCCATGTAGACACAGACTGTACTTAGACAAGATTCAAATGACTGGGGTTTAACACTCCATGGCCCATTGGTTTTCTGTTTACAGGTCCTGTGGCCGTCAGTAGCAGGGAGGATTGTCCCTTACACAAGTAGCCTACACATACTGTATATCAGTCAGCATACCAGACAAGTGTACATTTGAGTCTGTCCTCTCCTACACTCAATGAGCTCTTTGTCTTTTGACCTTTTTGGTAACCACTAAGGGAAATTCTGCCGAGTCAGTGTTCCCATATGTTCTTTTTTTTAATTGTCTTTTCTTACGGGTGGGATTGGAGTTGAGTGTCCAAGTCTAAGTCTCCTGTGTTGATGTGAATTTCTGTTTCAGGCTGAAGATCTATGTTCACGCTCCCTTTGACCATGTGAAGGTCTTCATGAAAGCCGAGGGGAGAAAAGCCAACTCAGTGAGGTGAGATTTACTTTCTACTAGTCACCTTTCCCATTTTCATTATTATGCCATTCATCCGTGATACCCTCAGGGAATTATACCTTCGCTTTCGTCCTTGCCACTGTGGGTGCAAGGTCAAAAAACAGATCTGAATCCCACAGCGTGAACAGCCTGGATGTTTTCTAGACTCATAGCTTATACTTCAGTCAGGCAGTTAAAGAAAGGCTCCCAAAAGTCCCAATGCCAGAAGATAGTAACGAATGGCACATGATGAAATGTGCAATTAAACCAACGTATTAAAAACACACATCACAAACAAATAACATAGACTGTATACAAGAAGTTGTTGGATGCTCCTTGACATCAGCCATTGGTTTGTGGATCACCATTTTGTGTTTTGGCCATAGTCATATTTAATTGTTGCCAGAAAAGCCTTCTTTGAACAAAGAGATGTAGTTTAGTATATCAAACTAACTGAGGTGAAGCCTAACAGACAATTTTTGTTCCCACCTTTAGCTTTATGCTACACCCTGAACTTTAAGCCTAATCATGTTTCCAACAAGGAAGTTGTATTGAAATGCATCGCCCTACAGTTGTATGTTCAGAGGATTTAGCTATAAAGACCTAAAATGTACCAGATTGTAAACATGTTTATGCCTGCGATAATGATGAGCGTTCTAACATCAATCAATCATAATTTGTATAGCTCAGATTCATAACAAATGTGATCCCAAGACATTTTACAAAAAGCAGGTAAAAGACCTTACTCGTTGTGATATTACAAAGAACCAACGTTAGTTCATCATGAGCGCTAAGCAACATTTAGCGACGTTACAACGGCTAAAAAGAAAAAGTCCTTTAAAGAGGCAGAAACAGCCATCTGCCAAAACTGCGCTGGGTTTGAAAAATGGGATAGAGGATTGACTCACTATTGGAGTTTTTGGCACCTTTTCATCGGCTCCATCTTTATCCCTAAGGGTTGCTGATTGACAAATATGTAGTTAACATAAGATGCAGGATTTACATTCATTTTAAGATTTGTGTCTGTTCTTTGAGTATCAAATGAAACGATGGGAGCTTTTTTTTTTTTTAACTTTTAATGTGTCAGCTTCCTGTTCTTGTTGGGCACTAAATCTGTGTGACCACTCTGACCGTATGATTGGATTTACCAGACAAGACTGATTCATTCAGCATGAATAAAAATCAACATTTTGTTAGGAACGTGACATCACTGACTACTTAATTCATGAAAAGCTACACAGACTTTTTGGCTTGTCGACCTCAAGGTTTGTTTTTCCCTTCACTCTGAACTTTGATTCCAACACTGAAATATTGTTTCAGACAATTCTCCTCAACTTGTAAATACATTTCATCTGCTGTCTTTCACTTTCTCTCACACTCTGTTACCACAAGTCCTGTCCTGTTCGCTCTCCCCTTCCTGTCTCGTTTTTGTCATGGGGGTCATGAAGGCTTGTTGATAGCACCCCTTCGCCTCGCCTACATTCAGATTCCTTGGCTGTCCTCCATTCCCGCTTAGTCATGGAGTGAATGATGATCCTCGTAATCATTACCTGGCCGGGATGAAACGTCATGAAACCTCCCATCCTTCATCCCCATAACACACACACACACACTCCTTTTGTTCTGCACACTGGGCTGGGCTGCACACACTTTCTTAGGCGATAAATTTTAATTTTATTGCCGGAAATAGAGCGGAAGAACCAAAAAAAAAAATAAAGTCATAAAGTCTTTTTGGTGCCAACATTTAGCATGAGCTGTTAGAAGGTCAGATTTTTACAGATACAAGAATGTAAGGAAAGTTTTAATACTTTTAAGTGTCACTTATGGGATGAAGGGCTGGACAGTGAATCGAGTTTCAATTTAAATTTAAAATTTGGCTTCCCAATACAATGAAAACATAATCGAGATTAAAGCACTACTGCTCCACATGCGTGTTGTGCTCGTTTTGTCCAAAGGTCTTAACGTGAGGAAAATGTTTGAACCAAAACGTTGTTAATTAATCTTTATTTTTTCATTATTATATATCACCATTTTTATACATTTACATTTTTTCCACGTATTTATTGTGTGCGTATCTTCAGAATTTGAAGTGTATGTGGAGTGTTTAAGTGTGATAAATTAATCAAAATACCAATCAAAATAATAGTGATCATGATTTTTGCCTTCATTGAGCAGCCCTACTGGGACCCCACACACATTCACAGTGTCTCCTTTACAAATACAGTTATCACAAGGTAATATATAACCCGACATAATCACAGGGTAATCATTTATAATGCCCATGTGGAGACTACATTTCTTAAGATTTCCTCAAACAGTTGGCTTCATTGGTTTAATCTGATTTTCACTCAGAAGTTTTCAAATGTGTCAAAGGTTTTCTGTGTTCTGCAGCTTCATAATGCTGTTTGACACTTTTCTCCTCAGCTGATGGTAACTTCCATGTGAAAACAATTCAGGAAATACTTTTGCATCTGAAGCATGAAGAGAGAAAAAAATGATCCTTTCTGTGATTATTTTTTTCATAGATCATTTTTGACATTCATGTAAACATAAATGGATGCCTCCTTGTTTAACGCACACCGCACACACTACACAAAAACAGTGTGCACCTGTGCCCTTCCATAATGTTACGTAAGTGTGAGTCACAGGGCAGGGATTTCTAAAGCCTGATAAAACCTCTCTCACAGGGTCTCACCCTCATGAAAAGCTTACCCTGCTGTGTCTAGTTTTCCCTCACGGCTGGCACTGATGGGTTAATATACGTCTGTGTGAAAGTTTCAAACTGTGAAGAAGGTTTTATGATTTTAACACATGACTGATGATGTTTGTCTGCTTCCTTTATAATGAACTAAACTTAAACTATGCTCCCAAAGCCTCGTCTTGCTTAGACCGTTTTCCTCATTCATTTAAAAAAGGGACGATGACTTTGAAGATGATTTGTAACAGTTTATAGCAGGTTTTTTTAAACTGGTGGGTCACAGAAGTGGGTCGCAGAGCAGCTTCCAGTCGGTCGCGGTTGTTGTGTTACATGTTTTGCAGTCTGTGGGTCCAAACTGCATCATTTCTCATTGAAAATAATCTGATTGGTTGAAAAGTATCAGAAATTTGGTACTTGATTTTTCATGGAGGAGTTGGTGTTGGGTCCTGAGACCAGACCAGTTGAGAACCACTGGTTTATAGAACTGCAAAGTCATGCTTATTCACCTATACAATGGATGCAAATAGTGTGATCCTGCACGGGAATCATTTCTCCCTCCAAAAGTGGCAAGCATGGGGTCAGAATCATATCAACAACCTATATATCTGGCCACATTTAAACATGTTTCACTGTTTCCATGCCCCCCAGTTAGTAGAGGTTAGACGTAGCACATGAAATAGTCCCAATCCAGGTAGAGAGGTATGTAGACGCAGACAGTTCCTGCCGTATCCGGAGACATTTTTAATGAATGAGTCATACTCATTTATATCATAGACGTAACAGTGTTTCCAGTTTCCAGAGAAAGATTTTATAAATGACTTCTATTACAGCGATTAGTCTGTTACAGCCGCAGTCGTAAATCACACTTTAGAGACGGCGTCCTGTCAAGGCTGTGATACTGACTAATTCTTGGCATAAATTTTCCTCTCTCTACTGTCTCTCTGTAACCTTTTCCTGTCGCACCTTTCTAGCTCAGAGGATGGGGTGCTTAATGAGCGTCTGTTTAGTCCATTATTCATTTCTTAGAGATCTCGCATTGTCAATATAATAGTGATGAATGGAAGTAGAGCAAAATTAGGATGCTTTTCCGGAGGAGGAATTACCTTACGTTGATTTTGTGCAGTTACATAACACCATTGCAGACTCAGACTTGAGCTCTAATAAGACGAGGTCTACTACAGATCGCTTTTAAGGGGTCATAAACAAGGTCACCCCACTGCAAACCACAGAGGGGCCTCAGTGTTGTGGAATAATGCAGTCTTAACAGAAAGCCCGTAATTTTGAAGCATATTATTAAGGTTATGAAGTCATGGACTGCAGTAGTCATGGCGAACACAAAGGGTCTGACTGCATGTTTCTGTTTGTTGATCTCTCCTGGAATATCAACCACCTCGTAATAAAGGAGCTTCTTGTGCTAAACTAAACATAGCTGTGTAACCGGTCAACATTCTGTTACTGGAAATGAGACTCACCGAGCATCAAGAGAACCTTTCAAACTCCTGCGGGTGTTTGTTTGTGTTATTTCTTTTTTAATGTTTACTTCTTATTCATTCCCCTCCTGAGATCCAGAGGATGAACTTTCCTCCTTTCCCGTACCTCTTCTTTACCTCTCAGTCAGCCGAATCCCACAGAACACCTACGCCTGTTGGAAGTGTCTGAAGTGGAGATGCTGTTTGTGCATTTGAAGCCACAGAAGAAACTTGTGCAACTTTGTGCACTTGTACTTTTTTCACCAATGTTGTGCACCAAATCAGGCACTGATCTTTTATTTTTTTTTCTGTCCTGTCCAAACATTTTCTCTCACATATTTTTGGTAAACCCTCTCCTTAGCCCTCCTGAGCCCGCAGATCTGCTCTCCCTCAGCTTACCCTGAAGTGCTGTAAGAGTTTCTGTCCTCAGGTCTCCTGCCGTGCTCAGCTTGTTTTGGGTAGTTTTACTAAAATAGCAAAGCAATAAAAGTAGCATATTTGATTGTGTAAGGGTTCAGAGTCAAGGTAAGACTGCTATAATAAGTATGTGTCTATAAAAGTGTTTGTCTGCTAAATGTCAGGATGTCAACATGTTACCACATAGGGAGTGTGCAGAGGTTGTATTTAAGTAGAGCTACAACCCCAAAAATATTCCTTTCTATAAATACACTTTCATGCTAAAATGCTTCATGGAGCATCAGTAATGCTTCTATCACTTTCAATTAGTTAATCTTATGCACGAGCATTTTAATAGATTTTGACACGCCACTTGAAATGCTCTTCTATTTTGGCAGACTTGTTTGTTGACACAATCCCTGCTTCTGGGACAGTGCGTTTTCTCTTTGCATAACAAAATTGGACTAAACCACCAAAACAACATTGAGGAAAAACACTGGAACTGGAATCTGGACCAAAATAAGAAGCTAAGGCATATGCACACCTGAAAATATCTAGATCATTTCAGGAGGTCTGCTCAAGAGGTTCTGCTGACCTGGCTGTTCACATGTGCACCTCACCGCGGGAGACAATCCTTGTCAGAAGGTGGCTGGGGTCTCCTGAGATAAGATGTGATTTGATGTGGATGAAACAACGGAGTCCTCTATAATATATAATGACAATATTTGCCTTCATATCAATGCTGCGTGTATTTCAACCGAATCGCAATATCAACCAAAGAGTAGAGAACAACATTCTAGCAAACCGAAAACATAATGTAGCCGTTTAATTACGTGTATTGTCACGGTAATAAACTCTGACCAACGTGCAGCAGTCCCCCCCCCCCATTGGCTCGAGCTGAATTCTCTGGAGAATATCCTGCTGCGTCCTCACATCATCTCACTCAGACTTGCGGCGGAAGATTTTTTTTAGGCGTCTGGCAGGAGAAACTCCGGGTGAAGTCCGAGCGAAAGATTCGACTGTTTGAGTTCACACAGGCAGAAAACTCCTGATATTTCCAGGAGGAGCTGTAAGTGTGAAAGCCCAATGAGTTTGCATCAATTAATTTTCATTATCGGTGGGATGGTCATACGATGGAACGATGATTATTAGCACCACAAACTTGCTAAAATACTTCACAGGAAATGAAAAAGGGCGTATTGTGTAATGAAAGATCAATCTCTGGCATGGACAGAATGATATATTTTCATTATTAATGACAGTCCAAAGTATCAGTGTCCATCATTTAATCCCTGTTATGAATGATATGCTGTGTTTTTGTCGCTCTAATAATGCGTATTCTTTTAAAAGGTAGATACTCATCATGGTTGCGGTGAATGGTTTTTAAATGAAAGCCTTAAATTGAACTTGTCTGTGTATTTAAGTGAGATGCTCTTTTTGAATGCCATCGTGTCTTTGGAATAATGGACTCTCCTGTTCCTGCTGTCTGAAACGTGCACATGTTTGGCTCATGGTTTTTCAGAGATCTGCACTTTCTCACATCAACTTTGGTGTTTCAAACATTCCAACTCTGACATAAGACGCATACGCATTATTCAAGGTCTGATTTTTGCACTCACAGCATTTATAAATGAGGCCCTTGCCTGTCATTACATAATTACACAACACAGAGGACATACAGTTATATTGGCAAGCACAGCTACATAAAAAGAATCACAGAGCGATGTAGGAACATTTTTGCAGTCGGCAGCATGCAGTGTCCAAATTCAACACAACCTACAATCCTCCAATTAATTTACAACCAAACACAAAGGGAATACGATTTAACAAAGAATAGTTCATTCAGCACTTGCTTGATCAGATTTTCATTTCATTGATTGTGGAGTTTCCCACAGGATTACACTGTACATGTGCAGTGGATTTGATGAATGGAGAAGGAGTGTGTGCCCATGATGAAGATAACTAATCAGAGCTTTTTATTTTTTTCTACTAGGCTGTAAACATGTTAATTTATTCTGTAAAATGGCTTTTTTCGGCTGTTGTGTGTTTGATGTGATGTGATTTCCGGGGTTCAAACGGAGCTAGCTTCAAACGGACACTGGACAAACTGCAAGATGTTGCACTTTCGCAATGGCTTCATTTTTCAAGACCGGAGGTTGCCGGTGTGAAGGCTCATTGATGATGATGCATATCACAACTATCATCTTAAACTAAGAGTTCAGCACAGCAGGCAGCTTCAGAAAATATTACAACAAAGGCAATAAAAACTTGCAATGTACCTCAATCCATTTGTCAATGGGAGGGACGTACCAGCAGAATTCTCTCACGCGTCCATGCGATGAAGATTATACAAAGATTAAAAAAAAAATGCTGGGCCGTAAATAGACCCGGGCGGCCCACCCGAGGGTCTTGTATTTGTGGGAAAGCCTGGTTTGGCATAAAAATCTTCATTCAATACCAAACTATGTCCTGTATTTCTTTACCCTGAAACCTTACAGATGCTCTATCCTTGCTGTTGGGTCTCAGCAGAGAGGAAAACAACAAGAAACTCTCTTAAGGAAACATTAGTCTTGCCCTCTGTTCTGTTCATTCACTAGGACACTATATAGAGACCAGATGTGTGCGTGTTCTCGGCTGAGTCACTGAGCCGTGTTTCTAGAAATGGCCAAGACTTCAACAAACCAATCGACACCACAGGGAGCCCCGATCTGCTCTGCCATCTTCCCTTTTTCTTCCTGCTGATGTTTTAGTTTAGCTCTTATATTCACGTAATAAAAAAACATCCAAGAACATTAATTTGTTACAGGTTAGACATAAAAACGAATGAAACGGAACAGTATTTATCTGGTTTGCACATTGCAAAGGGATGCAGACCTTGCTGGTATTCTGCTTATGCTTGCCAAAATATCTTCTATAAATATTTGCACATCCCAGCTTTTGAAAATTGTTTCAGTGCATAACCTTTGATCCTTATGAGCTACCAGTTTTTTTCAATTATTCCATTAATTCTTTGTGTTCATCTTTACACAAGATGTTTTGAACTCCTCTAATGTGGACATGCACCTGAAAACCCCTGCATCCATTCTTTGCTCTGGGGCAACACATTCTCCATGTGTTTTGAGACCCATAGGCTTTCATTTGTTCTCGTTATGCTTTCTTGCATGAAGTGCCAACTAATATTGTTGTTTATGTATGGTATCATGCAGTATGATCTTTAGCCCACCTAAGAGACAGTACTTCAAGAGGGAGGGCTTTCTGGAAGCTGGCCCACCAGTAAAAACCTGTAAATGTCCATTACAGCAGAGTGCTTTGATTGGCTTTGGGAGTGGGTGTCCACCTGGGCGGTTCTGCGTCTGCTTGTGCTTTTAGCAAAACAAACAATGGCTGGCCATGTCTTTGACAGCTGGTGGGGACGCTGCCAGTTTCTGTATACATCCAAAATATATAACGCCTGGTATTTTGATGATGACAGCTTAAGCTGGATGGTTTTGGATCAGTTGAGTGAAGCCATGTCTCCCAGGAATCCAGTTAACTATTTAGTCTGGTGATTTACGACCATCCCTAATGCATGACAGGACTACTTAGAGACAAGACTAGACTGATGTCATCTCATACAAAGAGCTGGAGAAAAGGGAGCTTGTGAGAGATGTTTTTGATTCTTGGTAGAGTCAGTTTTCCATCTCTTGAGACCAACACACAAGTAGGACCTTCAATGTGCCAAACCATGACTCAGATCTCGATCAGTCCACAAAAGATTCTCAGCCATCAATGAACCACAGACAGCTGGAAATAAAGAGATAAAGTTGATAATCAAGAAGTTTGAATAACATGAGCCCCTTGTTGCTGTCTTTATAGCTGCCTAGGGTAAAGTAAAGTATTATTAAACAGCAATTAAAGAAATAATCCTCAGTCACTTTTTTAAAACCAGCTTCCTGAAGATTCTGAACACAAAAAAATGATTTGTTTTGTTTTTATACTTCTACAAAACATTTAATTAGTATTTACAGTATAAAATGAATTCATTAAAATGTCAATACCTCACATCAGTGTCTAGATGTAATACAATACTGTCAAACAGAACAATACTATACCATACTATCCCCTTTTCCATTTCACTATTAGCTCTACCAATTATTTAGCCAACAAGCTATAACTGTTCAGTCTTGTGATAACCTCTTTGGTTGTTTTTTTTTTTTCTTTTTATAATAGGTACCATGAGTTGGACATCAACAAAAGCCTGAAGGACAACCTGAGTTACAAAACACTGATTGAATATCCTGTGCTGCATGTTGTGCTAAGAGACCAATGGAAGAACTATCCACTGAAAGGACCAGGTAAAAAAAAAAAAAAAAAAACTTTGTCCATCTTTAAATGTCAAAAAGTCTGTCCTAATGCTAGCTTCTGCACCAACACTAACCCACTAAGTCTTCTTTATTTGGTGAATAATAATTTCTTTATCACCATTTTGTCCTTTTGGTTCAATCATTAGCCATGTTTTCTGTTACTAAACGAAAGGGTGGATACACCACTTGAGTCTAAAGCCTTCAAAGCCCCAAAACGTCAAACCCCTCTCCACTTCCCCAATTCCAGCAACATTGTATCATGTTCTGCTTTCTCCAGCTGAGACTTTGAGACTCCCTGTTCCCTTATTTTTCACTATGGCAACATGCTACCCCAACGGAAACGAGGGTGTTCTGCACAGCATCACACACACACCAACTTAACCTCAACAGTGACCGTGTCCAAAAAGAGGATCAAACATGACTTACTGTTGGACAGTGACTTCATGAACTGACAAATGACAGAAGAAGAAAAAAAAAAAAAAAAGAGAAAACACGACATCAGTCTGTTTTTCGTCTCACCTCTTTGGCACTGTCTTTTAAGTAAGGATGTTTTGGCCAAGAAGAGCCATGATAAAGTACTGGTACTAGTGCACATCATGAAGTAGCAGAAAGCATCAAAATGTGTTAATCTCAGTGGTGTTAGTATACTAAGTAAAGACCACCCTAACCCAGTATCATGACACTCTCAGACCCAGACAGGCTGAATGACGAATAAAGTAAATTTAGTCTGTGTGTGTGTTTTCAGTGATAAGGCCTTGGTGCCACAATGTTTTGCTAAAAATGTTAGCCATCGAAACATCCTGATAATTGTACATGCCACAGCCTGGGAAGCTGGGCAGGAAGTGATAAAGAGCAATCAGACACTGTGGCAGTGGCTTTTCCACTGAGGTTATAGAAATGTTGCTAGCAGGCTCAGACCAAACAGCCTGCAGCCGGTCACTGGTCTGGTTTGAAATACATGACTCTCCCTTTGTTGTCTTAATGACTATGAGTCAGGGTCTCTTTAAAGACATTTTTATCTAGCTGTTCATGTTTTATTCCTTTTGTAGCCCCACTAAACAAAATATGTAAACCATTTGGGCGATTGCATATTTATCTTACTGAGCTTTTTCAATGTGGCCAAACCACTCGATATAGCCAGCTCAGACTCTATTAATACTTAATGATGAGAAAACAATATTATCCATGTGAATAAATAACTAAATGACTAAAATAAATCCTCCATTCGGAGTGCGATTAAGCTAGTTAGCCTTCTTATAAACGCAAAGTTAGGTTAGTTTCTGAATCGAGGAGATTAGTTTGAACAGTTAGAAAACACTTTGTGGGACATTCAGAAAGGTTTCAGAAGTGTCAGCGACTTGGGCTTCCCAACAGACTAAGTGTTCTTTGTAGGCAGAATATCCTGTAACTGCCTTCTTCTACTCAGAGAATTAGGGTTACACACCCAACCAAGATCAGTTCAACAGTTCCTGAAGGAAAGGATTTATGCAATACAACAACTTATTCTCTTACTTCATATTCATTTTGTTTAATGCTTTTAGTAATGCTCCATTCCCAGGATGAACGGTTAATGCGAGGCAAGCTGCTTTTTAATTGTGTTCTATTACAGCACTGTAGAGAAGCGGTGAATTACGTTAATATTTCATATTAAAGGCTCAGCTGGATAACCATTTTTTAGGATGCAGACACAAATATTCTGGCCAAAGCGTCTGAGGTCTAAAGTGAATTAACCTCAAGTGGACTGTTGGGAGATTATGTTGGGGAGTCGGGTTTATTACTCATAGTTATCCTTTTTACAGTAATTTATTCTTCTGCCTTTCTTCCACGTTCTCCAGTCTTTGTTGCATAACTAATTGCGCTGCACACTGCTTCATCCTGAGTCCCGGCATGAAACCAAACTGTTACACCATCATTACTGTCCTTCTCTGTCTCTCCACATAGTTTCAGCATGACCCCAGCTCTGCTCTACCCTTTTCTGTTTTAACTTAACACTCAGATCTCCAAACATATTCAAACGTGACGAAAGAATTGACTGTTTTATACCCTAACTGGGGGCAATATTGTTTCAGCTGATCCTGCAACAGCCTGTGGTAGTTTAACAACAAAGAGCAACAAGTTGGTCCAAGACAAAGAGGATGTGACCAAAGTTTCACCATCCAAAGAAGGGACACACAACCCGGCTGGTACCAACATCTGGACAGAAACCCCTGAGACAAGCCCTGAAGCTGAACCGCCAAAACAGAAGAGGGCCAAGAGAGAGTTAAGCGAGGAAAAACTAGAGGAGGGCGAGATCATGGACAGCAACGATGAAGAGGAAAGAAATGCAGACGAAAAGACCCCATGTGACGTGAGCTGCAATGGTGACAAAAGCCCTGACGTGAATAAAGACTAACCAGCAGACCATGTGGTAACTAACGACTGTATGACTAAACACATTGACAGCAGCAGGGTATAGAAAACGACTTTTCTGGTTCAACCGATGACAAGTCAGCTTCCAGAGAGAGCGCTGAGGTCGGCATGACTAAGGAGGACGCTGTGAAAGAGCTGGAGCCTGTTCAGACCTTGTCACTGTCAGGTTGAAAATGAGTCAGCGAGCGCTGCCGACAGCCGGGGATCGGAATGATAATGCCCAGATGTTCACAATGAAATAAATGAGGAGGCAGACATATCTGACAGGAAGCCATCAATCATTGGACCAATAGAGCAATCCAACCTGACAGACTTTCAGTTTCTTTTCTATCTATCTTTTTTTTTTTTTTTTTTTTACAGAGACTGTTTTAACTAGAAGAATGATCATGATACCTTTATATCAAATATGTATAAAATATTCTCCATGTTTATGTTAGATCTGTCTGTTAACATACTTTCTTAAATAAATACTTTTTTTGGAAACATGTTAGTATTTGTGTTACACTGCTGGAAGGCTGTGCTGGTGAAACTAGTATCCAATACAACAAGAAGTACTATTTTCAGTATTCTCATCTATATTTATGATGAACCTCTCAAACTGTATTACATAATCTTCATCACACAGACTTTGTGACAGAAAACCAATTATAATGATCTAAAAGCCCGTATTTGATCAATGGGTATTACACATTACATTTACATTTCAGATGTTCTGGAGCTTTGGAGTCTCTTCATTTTGCTCAGTATGTTCATCTTGGCCCTGTTGTAAGACTGGAGTCCCATTTCCACCAAGCAGTACGTTTCGGTTCGGTACAATACAGTACACATTTACTCAAGTTTCCCCTGTCATAAATTGGGAATGGTACTAAATTAACCAATCCATATCATCCTACTTTTTTGCTACCCTTCTTTTGGGGTGCAAGCGTACTGATCCGACCCTGAAGGGTAGGGCTTGACTCAATGCAGTCCATTGATTGGTCAAAAAAAAAAAAACGTCGCAGCAATAGCGGATATTAAGTACAAAAACCAAACATGCCACCATGTTTAAATCCCATGGATTTCCAAAGAGTCATTTTAAGGCTGTAACACTGCCCCATGGAAGACCTGTGAGTTGCAGACATTTCTAGGCTTCATTGATCTTTGTTTACTGTGTTCAGCTATTGAATTTATGGGCTGACTACACTATGTCAAGCTGCTATACTGTCACGCTGTTTCTTAGCTGATGTGGCTATCGCAATCCAGGTTCAACCTCGCCTACCAAGTAAAGGTATGGTTGGCTTTTGGAAACACCAGCAAGATCAGAATATACCATAACAAACTGTACTTAACCAGACCACTTGGTGGAAACGGGGCTTATATGGTCCAGAACACCAAATACATAAACCTTGAAGAGACAGGTTTTTTTGTTGAGTTGTCACAATAGTGAAACTCTTAAGATGACACAGATGAGAAACAACATGCAGATAAAGAGCATGAGATATTTCAACATTGTGGAGGGCTTTTTACCCTGTATGTTTTTTTTTTCTGATTAACCTTTATCAAGCTTTTAAACCCTTTATTTCATAGAGACTTGAACCCCTAAACATTGTTATATTCACATGTTTCATTAACATAAAAAAACATTCAAATACAAATTGTTTGATATACGAGATCAATTCAAAGTAATGTAACATCAATCAAATCCAAAGAATGAAGTAAAAGGAGAATTAGACGATGGCATCCTTCAAGAAGATTGATTAAAAATGGACTTTAAAAATACGTTTGCGTCTGTGCCTGCACAAATAGTGATGCAATTAAAAGAATCAGTTAGAGAGGTATTTTAACCCCTTAACCCTTATTATGTCCTTCTGTTGACTATGTTTTAATCGAAAGCAGCCCCCTTATTGTGCCTTATTAACTTTGAAGTCCAACAAACTTCTCCTTTTTTTTTTTAGGCTAAAGTAAAACCATTAGTCTCATTTTTCCATCAGCTCATAAACGTTAATGTTGACATGCTCGTTTTTTTTCCTGACACCTCGGGGTGTCTCCCTGTGTGAATGTTCTCGCACATGTGGTGCCTGTGTGTATCGTATTCTTACCTAATGTTGGTTTATTACGACAACGAGAGTGCCAGTAATAACTGACAGTGAGGCTGGTTGGTCCAGCCTGTGTTTATAGATGTGTTTTTATAACCTCTGCTAACCTCTTTTGAGTGTTAACCCCTCTGGATGGGCGCCCTTTGATGTCTAGGCTGTAATGACGCATTTTCCACCATTTTGCAGTCAGAGGCAATGATCTCACATCTCACTGCGCATCCCTCTGTGAGGCATGACGCAGGGACCCCAAACTCATTTACCCCTCGGTCTTCTTGCAGTTTTAATGTCCAGTTTTAAAGCTTCGCCCCTCCTTTTGGACCGTGTGCTCATAGAACATCCAGCTAGGCCCTTATTCATGTATTCATTGTTTGATAGATAAACGTTATCCAAAGCAGTTCTCATTCTTTCCTACAGAAATGTTCCATGAAGCTTTTTTTTCATCTTGTAAAAAAAACAATTGCAAAAAGTACAAACACAGGCTGACAAGTTTCAGAGAACCGTTTAACATTTCAGGAAATCTGCTTATTTCTCTTTTGCCCAATAGTCGAAAAAAAGATTAATATTAACTCCCATACAGATTCTGGAAAAATGAAGAGACCCCTTTTAAATAAACTCCCAAAAATGTTGGAAACCTTAGTTTGGTCAAATATTTCGCCCCTTTAATAATACTGATTGGTGTTGTTATATATCGTTGGAAAGCCTGATTAGTCATCTTTACAACGAGGTATAATTTGGAAGGATTGTGCATTCTAAAAATGTTCCAAAATGTACTCTTGAACTACTAATTTAGAGGTTTGTGTTTGAATAAAATGACATTTTTTTTAGGTGTTTTCAGCATTTCTCCAAACTTCCAAATACAATATTCCCAAAGGTATTATATTTGCAGAAAATGACAACTGGCTAAAAAAAAAAAATCTGAATACTAATCTTTTAGCTCAGTGGAGTAACCCGGACATATTGTAGACAATTTTTTTTTTATTCTTTGATTTGAAGACTTACCTCTAGTAGGACCAGAGAAAGAGATATTCTAGCAGTGGTTACAGCAGTTGCCAGCTGTATCTGTAAAATCATGCTACAACCAGCAGCTTCTTAGCCTAGCCTATCATCAAATCAATCATTGGACAAGGGATGTTTTTATTACTCTTTTTCACTTTTTTTATGTACTTAAAAATAAAATATATATTATTTGTATTACTTAGCTGAAGAGGTGCTGGTACCCAGATTATATCACCAGTCAGAGTTGGATTTTCTGGTTCCCCATCTTTTGCCAGACTAAGATAACTATCTGCCTGTCCATGCTTCGTATTTCCCATACAGATGTGCTGCGTCACTCAGGCAGGCAGAAATGGTACTGTGAGGGGCCTCCTCATGCCACCATCAGTAGTAAGATATGTTACCAATTTTGACAGCTAATAGAGAAACAGTTCAATAATATTCATTATCTCTTGTTAATCCAGCATTAGAAACAGAGTACTTGAATATATGATTCAGTTAGAGCAGGCTGCTCCACTGTTCTACAAAGAAATGTCACATAGCACCAACCAATAAATATAAACCCTCTGCAGCTTTCAGATCTACTCGTTGAGTCACAACTTTGCCTGTGTTGAATTACCACCCATTTTATTTTAGCGGCTTTCTTAATTTTCTATCCCAATAAAGTCACTCAATGCGACCACACAAAAGCTCTGCTGTTGTTTCTGCTTGCTGTTAAAAGTACATTTGAGCTGTTTTTAGTCTGTGGAGAGCACAGTCATTGGAAATAATTCCTCCAATTGAAGTTAAGTGCCCTTTGAAATTTCTATAGCTGGTTTGGACTTAATTAGTCTTAATTTGGTGGGCAGGGCTTGATTGTGCTGCGTGCAGAGCTGCTCGTTTTATGAGAGCAGCTTTGGGACACAGCTCTGAAGTGGTGGCTTTATCCAGAAACAGGCTAATGTTAGCAGAACTCTGAGTCAGGAGAGGCAGGTACTAAAACACAACATCATGTTTCCACATCCTGATGTCATGCTTATTCACATGGCACACAGAGAGGGTGGCATTAGACACACAAAGAAGCATTTATAAAACAGAACCTCTTACATTCACATAAAACTGTTCAAAACTGGACCCTGAATCTGGAGTTTTGCATTTCTATGTCACAATTTTTGAATTGGAAACCACTTTGGCTGATCTCACTCTCACACATAGAAAAACACAGCTGAAGAGGAGATGAGGTTTTCTTTCACAGATATTTAATTGGCAGTTCATTGTCCAGCTCATCCGATGACAGTTTTTGTCTTTGGTAAACAAAACACCAGCTCAGTTTTTGGTGATTGCTCTGACTTATTCCCTCGTTAACTCAAACCACATGACGCATGTTGGAGAAACCCCATTTTTGTTTTAGAAGACTTGAATATACACTGGGTGTGTAATCCTCAAATAACACAACACTCTTTATACAGAAGCCCTAAGTGGGCATGTCTGCATACATTTGACTGACTCAATTTAACCGTGATAACGATCATTTTGTTCGGTTTCCTTGACTTCTGGAACTAATATATCTAGTTTTCTGAAGATAGCAATGCTGATTCTCCCATCATGAGCTGATTTCACTTGTTTTCTTATATCTCAACTTACTTTGTCACTCAAGTTAACATAATCATTTTCTGGTGATCTACAAAGAAAAAACTATAGCCTAGTTATTGTTTTAGGCCAGACTATAATCATAAGCCATGCTGCCATCGCCCACATTAATGAGGTAAGTTAAGCCTATTTCCATAATTGTGATGTTATGTGATTTTGCAACCCTGGGGATGTGAGATAAATAAGTTCAGATCTCGAGAAAACAACACGGAAATCACTCATTATCATGGGAAAAACTGAGTAAATAAATAAAATGTATCCATGCGTGTCTGTTGACAGATTGATAGAAAGAGTAATTGGCTGATTGAACTCATCCTGTTCTAAGGATTAACAAACTTCATAGGACACTTCATCACAAACAGACCGGCAGTGTTGTCACTGCAGTCGTCACCTTGGAGACCGATCCCCTGTAGGGGTTGTTAGCAGGAAGTGATTCACTTGTTCCCTGATGGTCTGGTTTCTGTCAAGCTGACAGTCCAAACCAACAGAGCCTGCTCGTTGTCTGTTATTCTTTTACTATCAGCCCGGAGTGATCATGTGAGCTCGTTTTTTAGAGCACCTGTCATTGTCTCCCGAGATGTTCTGGTTCCATTATTGAAGCTGTGTTGTCCAACGTGTATGCATAGCTGAACAATTCTTATTCGCTATATATTGCTTTCTAAAGTCAAAACAGAGCAACAGATGATCCCAATAACCTGAAACAATCAATCTAATGTCAGCTCTTATTTCCCAGAAGTATACCTTAAATTGCACCTGGCT